CCCCCCCCCCCCCCCCCCCGCTCCCAATTACCAACACCTACACATACACACAGACCAGAACCATCGTAACCAAGACAACAGCAGCCATGGTGGTATTTGTCCCGAGTGAAGTGCTGGGCTGTGATGCCCTGACAGCCTTCCCTCAACCCTCTCTCAACCCTGTCACCTCTGCTGCTCTGCTGTAACTCTCGCCACAATGGCTGCAGCTTGTGAACCTGCCAGGCTGCCAAGGACACAAAGATGACTGAGTCAACCTTTGACATCAGAAGCTGCCACCAAAAGACCACAGACAAGCTCAGTTGGCAGCTCAGCTAACAGGCTGGAGACCCAGATCTTTTCAGCTCTATTAAAACAGCAGAAGTCAACACAGCACAAGTCAATAGTGCATACCAAAAAAAAAAAAAAAAGACGCTGGGTCAAACTGCTATGTGTTTGGGCAAAGTTAGGCATGACAAAAGTTACCAAAAGGTGACCTTGATATTTTGGCCATACCACAGCTGTCTTTTGATTGACAGCAGTCACTGAGAAGAGGCAAAAGTCAAAAAAAAAAGATTGAAGAAAAAAAAATGACATTTGAACATGAAATAAAGCACGAGTTTTGTACTGAAGGCTGGATGACATTTCAACGAGCTGATTCACTGGTAGATGTCCAGGCCACCCACCCACACTGCTCCATGTGGAACAAGCCATTTTAGTAAGTGAGATGAGATAAGAATGGTAGAGATGTGCTCACAGACATGTGGAGCATATGTAAGATGACCTATACGTTCACTATGATGTCACTCCGAAGCTTTAAAAAGAATAAAAATCACAAAACTGAACCTCCAGAATGATGACGGAAATAAGAGATGAGGCAAGAATTGAAGTTCCAGTTTTTGTTGCAGCTATGCACGGATGTATCAAGTGATACCTAAACACACATGTAGAGAAAAAAAGGTGCTTTAATTACTTATACAGTGCCTATAAAAAGCATTCACCCCCTGGAAATGTTATACTTTTATAGCTGTCATAAAGAGTAGTAAAGAGAAACTGATAAAGGTGTCTTGGTGGCCTCTCTAACTAATCTTTTTCTTGCACTGTTACTCAGTTTGTGAGGACAGCCTGCCTTTGACACATGTCCCCATTATTGACATTTCTTGATGATGGATTTAGCAGATCTACTCGGGGTATATAGGCCCTTGGAATTTCTTTTTGTATCCATCCCGACTTGTACTTTTCAATAATCTTTTCTCTGAGTTGATTAAGTTGATTCACTTTGAAGGGAGTGCATATTTCTGCAATCTCTTATTTTACATTATATGTACATTTTAGTTTGTATTTTGTTTTGTAGAACTTAGATTTCTCTTTGATGTGATAGAAGTTTAAAAGTGAAGTTTTTTGCAAAAAAAGGACAACTTATATCGACCATGAGCTATTTATGACAGCAATTAAAGATTCATAATGAATCTAAGGGAATAAATACTTCTTGGAGTTACTGTTTTGTTGTGTGCTTATAGCTTGAATTTCTATTTGTTTCTCGGTGCGTGGATATCTGTATGTGTGTCACTCTTCAAACAATACTGCAGTCATCATCTCTTATCAGCAGTCATGTTGGGGATTACAGCTTTTCCCTAATCCTACATTAAGGACACATCCTCATGATGGACGTGACATCATCACGGCCAGCAAACCACAGAGAGGGCACAAGGACAAGAAGCCAAACACTGCAGGAGAGGATTAATGAATATAGGAGACAGAGAGAGAACAAAGAAGACGGAAGTGGAAATGAACTCCAACAGCAAGTTTCCAGAGCATCTGGAAACAAAGTTTTAAAAATAATCTGGTACTGATTCAGATTCTCTGTTTCTTTGACAACAATCCTTTTCAAATAGCTCTACTAAAACCTTAAAGCTTCCCAGGGCCCAGAATAATTATTACACAAATACACAAACACACATAAAATGCTTAACATTGTTGATTACCGAAGAAAGACACATTGTGGGACGAATATGTGTGAATCCTAATTATTTACACATGTATCCATATACAGCTTTAAACCTAGTTAATCACGCATACAAGGACCAATCCACAGGACTGAATTTGTGTTTTGTAAATGTGTCATTTAAACATAAAGTTGTTATTTATCAAAATAATACTACTTACCTGCATTTGTGAACCTTGTCTTAAACTTCTTTAAAGGAATCATTGACCAATATTACAATATGTATGAAACAATTTTATTTAATAAGCTTATATTTGACTTCTGAAGAAATTTGTTGCATTTTTATATACAGTATGTGCCCTGTATTTTGACATTGATTATACTGTACGTCTTGATTTATAAATATTTGTTATTCTTGAATTGTACTGTCTCTTTGATCTTCTACAAATTAATTTCCATGACATCTCGACTCAGTTTTCATGACTGATCATAAAAAACAGCCTTTTCCCAAAAATTTAAAAACATGTTATTTGCCTTTTTTTTTTATTATGCTTGCTGTTTAGCTTTGTTGGAACTAAGCTCCATAGACAGTCAGTGTATTTGAAAAATGAAGGCAGAAAATTTGCAAAGTTCAGTCTTTAACATGATATCGATGCAGCTGAATATAATTATACACAGATTGCTTTTTACCTGCTGAAACTCTGGGGCAGTCTACCAGCATGGACTCAAGTTGTGTGTCCAAGGGTTCGGGACTGGATACCCAGTTGCAACAATACTGAAGGACGAAGAAACAAACAAACAAAAAAAATAAATAAATACAAATTCTCACATTTGTCTTAATGGCTAAAATATTGCTTCTACAAGAGCCTTTACAGAGACAGAAATAAAATTAACCAATAAAATCCCTTCACAAAATGCAAAATTAAGCAAATAATTTGAAAACAAAAGTATTTTATTGGGTGGGATAAGCTGACATGTTGGTAAGAAAAAAAAAGGAACAGGAAAAGAGGACAGGTGCGGAGGTTAGGTGATGAAAAAGAACCCACAAAAGAAGTGAGTATGGATGGTGGGGGAAGAGGAGACAAGAACAAGCAATTAAAAGCTCCGTGACATGCCGCTAAGACAGCTTGGCGTTTGTTTGTGGTGAAGAGATGAGGCCTTCTACCAGGGCTGATCAGTGGGTGCCCCGGGGGGAGGGTGTCTGCCCAGCTTGCTGACCCATAACCCCCTGCAAACACCCCAACTCTTCTCAAACCCCTTGTGGTTGACAATTCCACTGTCAGAAAGGGAAAAAGACCTCTTTATCTATTTTTTTTTTTTTTTTTTTGCTGTCTTCATCCATCCTGTGTGGCGCATTGTGGTTGTATGTGCCCCGACACTGTGGGCTGCTTCAGACAAATAAGGTTCAAACTCAATTTATCATTAATAAAGTGTATCGATGCCAGAGAACAGAGTAATTTAGCTTTTGTTGCTTTGAGCTTCCATTTGCTGGGTCAGCAGATGACAACACATCAAACTGTGTTTGCCCTTCTGACTGTGCTGTGTAGACTGGTATGCCGAGGCTTGTAAGGCTAGAACAAAAACAAGAAAAAATGGAGGAAAGAGACAGGGAGGCTGAGAAGGAATGCTTAGAGAAGACGCTCCCCTAGATAAGATAAAAGTTCAACAGAAGAAAGAAAAAATGTAAAGAGATTAGAATGTGCAGCTGGCGTCCTTCTGATTCACTGCTTATCTGCCCTTGTTTACTTTCACCCTGGCCCCCTGACAGCCATTAATGTGTTGTGTGTGCAAGAAGGTTTGCTTGTGAGGGTCAGTGACTGCCTTTCAAGGGGTGGGGGGTTTCACAAAAGCCTTTAGAGTTGTGAACTTATCAGACATTAATACACACAAATGCCCATAATTTACATTATCACCACCACTGACTCCCTAATGCTCAAAATGAGGATAGAACAAATGCTTTACATTTCTAGAGCTAACCTAAAACACACGAACACACATGCACGCACCCACTCCCTCACAAACAAATGTGTAAAATTAAAGAGAACAGAAACTTGGAACAGAAATACAGAATGGTGACGTTTTTGATCATTTAAAACATTTAGTTTCCTCAAACTCAATCTTAAAGGCTTCTATAAGGGCTTTAGAAAAAAAGTGGTTAAAGCATGTAAGTCTGTGATTAATTTATAACATCCTAATATTTAAAACAAATAACCTGTCTGATAGGCAAATTATCAACAGCTGGTAATGATTTCAAATTGTAAGTTTGATCAAGACAGGAAAACACGTAACAGCACACAAGCAGAAAGTGTAGTGCAAACAGAAAGCTTCAAATACTAAAAAGAAAGAAAAAAAAACACTGCAACTGTGAAGCAACTTTTTTGCTGTTTGTGGAAAATTTTATCAATAATCATAAGCTGTTCATACAACTTTCAATTGCATTCACGTCTATAAATAAAAATATATATTTGTAAAACTTGTGGGAATTTCATGGTTTAGGTATGTTTTGCAGCCACAGAAACTGGTTTAGCTAAAACATTTTGCATCAAATCAATCAGTTCTTAAGTAAACAGCATGTCAAGATTTGAAGCAACTAAAAGTTTGCCTTAAAAAGAAAAAAAAATCATCAAGACAAACAACAAACAAACAAAAAAAAAGAAATAATGGCTTTGAAAAATTTAGATATGGAATGGCAAACTGAAAGACTATTTTTACTGTAAATATATGAACTGTAGTTTACATGAGATACTATAATGACAAATAACTAACTAACTAACTAACTAACTAACTAACTAACTAACTAACTAACTAACTAACTAACTAACTAACTAACTAACTAACTAACTNACTAACTAACTAACTAACTAACTAACTAACTAAATAAATAAATTAAAAAAACATCCAGTTTGTTCGTTGACAATTTTAAGACACAAAGGGCTGGAAAGAAAACAATATTTGAATAGTCTATAATCCTTTTCTATCGAATCAAGAACAATGAAAATTAGATACAATACAAACTCAATCTGACTTGTAAAATCTGCTCCAATCACTCTTATGCTGCAAGTTTATACTGTATATTAAGCACGACACTATACTATCAAACATAAAAAAATAAAACATTTAAACATTTGGTGAAAAAAATAGAGGAAGCCATAAAGAATTACAAAATATCAGCAAAGAGATGAAGGGGGCAAAGTGGAGGAAGCTGGGGGCTTTAGTATTGGAGGAAGATGAAAAGTCATTTTGGTAAACAGTAGCTTGTTGTGTATTTTTAGTCTTTTGCTTTGCCCTAGATGTGCTCTCCTCTGAGCCTGAGTTTGAGGGCCGAGCTGCACAGAGCAGCAGAGAAGCAGTGGGGCTCCTTGACTGCTACATCAAGTGTCTCATTGTATCTTCTTTAATTCATTCCTGTCTGGAGGAAGATGTCAGCTGGGCTGTGGAGCAGTGGGCTGAAGGCGGCTGGAGAGAAGGAAAGGAGGGGAGGCTTTCAAAGGGCCCTCCTCCCTCCCCTACAACTCCGCCATCACCACCAATGGAGGCAGAGAGGCTGTGGTTTGAATAGATTTGTCAAGGCAACAACACACATGTGCACACAAACTTGCATAAATGCACGCACGCAACACAAAGACCTAAAGCTGTGGGGGACCACAGGCATAACAGCCTTCACATAAAGGCAAGGCCTGGTGGCTGGGATTAGAGAGGAGCTACATGACAAACGGATGGCACGTCACATCAGCTGCCTCTGATGCGCAGCATCATCACTTCAAGCAGCTCGTCTATCGATCAATAGAGTGATTGAACTGGTTAACAACAGAGAAACAAACAAATAAAATTACTTTCTATACATATGTTTCTCTTTGCATGTTTGATGCATGGCCTGTTAATAACCAGAAAGACACTTTTTCAAGGTAAAATGCATTCAAATGCTGCAAAATATCCTAATCAAAGTTACCTGGCAAAATAATTTTGGTCAAATACAGCACATTTATTAAGAAACAAACAAACAAACAAACAAACAAACAAACAAACAAACAAACAAACAAACAAACAAACAAAAAACAAACAAACAAACAAACAAACAAACAAAAAACAAACAAACAAACAAACAAAAATAAATAAATAAACTGGATTAAACAAAGTGCTGCCCAAAATGTAAACACATAAAAGATACAAAGTGGTCTCAAACACAATGAAATGTCATATAAAACAAGATTAATGAATTAAATAAATCGATAAATTTGCTTAATGAAAGTCAAGATATTCTTTCCAAATGGAAATTAAAAGCTGGTGAACATAAGTGAGTTATAAGAAATGGAAGTAACACCAAAAAAGTGGATTTTTGTTGAAAGGAAGTGTTAAAGCCAACCAATATGCTAACAGCAGTGTCCGAGGCTAAAATGACAGTTGAGTCAACCACTCTTCCTTTGAGGAAAGGTATAATCCCTGTTATCTGCCTATTATCTGTAAACATCTGTGTGTGAGATACACCACCTGTTGCATTATTTAGTTTAGAGTGGAAGTCATGCTGCTTTGCTCATATTACCAACAAAAACACATGCACACACATTTTTAGATAAACCAAACATTCAGCTGATGACATGATAGTGTGTACTTTTACATAAAACCTGTAATAAAAAAGGAAAATAATGACTTTAGGCTTGGCCATGACTCCATACTATATCTTCAATATCATAAAGCCAAAACTAAGCTCTATGATCTGTTCTGATGTTTACTGGAGATGGAACTCAAACTGCTGACTTCATGAATGGAGTTCAATAATTCCACCTGCAAGCTCACCTCCATCAAAATGTATAAAACTGTATCTGTCTAAGGGTGTTTTCACACCAGGAAAGTCCTTTGGTTGCCTTGTTTGATACGGACCAAAAACAGACTCTATTTATTTGTTTATTTATTTATTTGGAGCTGTTTGCTTTCACATTTTGCTTTTTTGCAAGTTGACTAATTTAGCACCTTATTTACCAGTATGTAGGATTTACACCCTACTCTTCTTATAACAAGGTTATAAGGAAACTATTTTAGCAAGGATCTTTTTATTTTCGGTAAATACTTCTGTCATGCAAAAATGAATGGACAAACACAATGAGCGACGTGGCTCAGTGAATTTCGATTCGATCCATCCATCCACATGCAATAATTTATTTATCAAACAAAATCACTACAGCACACTTAATTGTGAGCAATCAATTTCCTATAAAAGTTTTAAGAACCAACAAAAACAAGCACACTTCGGGCTTAATTAATTGTCAATCCAACACTTGAATAGAACAAGCTAGATGTTGAATAACTAGACATTTGAAGGCAAATAACTAAGGGTTGGTTGGCAGATAAATAAAAGGAGGAAAGTAAGGTGTTAGCTTTCCTAACTTTTAGCTTAAATAAATGTGGGATTTTTAACCAGAGGACACATCTTCCCAGCTGGCCATCAGCTGGAAGTTAAGTACTTATTTATAAACATAAACAATCATTGCTCCCCTTAGACAGAAATGACAGGGGCGGGGCAGATGACAGACCCGCAAAGAAAGACAGTGATGCTAATCTGGACAATTGCAATACCATTTAGAATTTCAAGAGCAGCTCATTTGAAGGTGGTTTCACAAAGATATACTTATTGGCTCTGCGCTCCCTGACCCACAACGGCTGATTGTTTGTAGCACAGTGGTAGTGTTAGCAGTATGGAACGGCGGCTTGTAAAATCAGTGTTCCCTGTAGTTGGTTCGGTTCGAGACCAGCCTGTATTCACACCAGAAGTGAACCGCATCAGAGTTTGTTTTGGAGCAGACGGAGACCACCTCAAAAAAATGGGTCTCGATCCAGTTGTTTGGTCTGCTCCAGGATTTGCATGAGTGTATTCACACATGCATTAAAGGTCCGGACCAACAGGGGAAACAAACTCTGGTCCGTTTAAAGCGAACCGAATGTATCAGGTGTGAATAGGCCCTAAAACTGTTTCCAGGAAGTGATTATAGACATCTAATTGCAAAAAAATAATAAATCAATAAATATTAATTATAATAAATAAATAAAACCTGATGAGCATATCTGCACAATAAAATCCAACAAGTTCTATTCAACTAAAAAACTGTATTTGTTTTTCTTTTGAAAACCTGTATGACTGAAGAGAATAGTGCACTGGGTTCACAAAAGTCTCCTACGCTATAACACACCTGACAGCCTGCAAGCTAACTACTCAGAAGAAACTCTTGAAGATCATTTCTTGCTCACTCTCTCTGAGACTGTTGCTCCCATCTCCTCCAGTGGCTGTATAATCTCTATGGATTAGGATGCTTTATTCATGACCATCGTGATACTCTCACTGTGTATGCACGGTGTGTGCATGTGTGTTTGTGTAAGTGTGTTTGCGTGCTCTGGGCAGGCCACTAGAGTGTGACAGCAGGCCAGCACAGTGACAGGAGACACCTTGGAGACTGTGACAGGCTGCCAGCTGTACACCATCATTTAGATTTCTCTCTCACACTCACTTCTTCTCTCTGTGCTGTTCATCCATCTCCACGTACATCCCTTCATTCCCTCTCCTCCATCTGTATTCACTCCATTCATATTGTACTTGTCTTTTTGTTTTTCCTTTCCACAGCTCTAGCCTACACTTTCTCAGTGGCAGTCAACGGGATTTAAATAATTGAACATTTCTCACTTTTTTTGTATTCTTCTGTGTCAGTCAACAGATAAGTCTTTTTCTTGGCTTTTCTATTCTCGTTTTCTTTAGTTTCAAATTCGCTATGTATTCTATGCCTTTGTTGTGACGTCAGGTGCCCCTTATCTGACCCAAATGGTCTTTGTAACCTGGCTCAGCAGGCACTGATCTCTAAATCCCATCTTCTCTCTTCTACTCTTCTGATCGCTCCATCCCGCCTTCCAAAGACCTCTTGAACTCCCAAGGGAGGGAATTATATCTGCCTGACAAGAACAGAACAGAGCTCAGCTGGAGTATCCCAACCTCACATGCATCTACTCATATGGGCACCCATATCTATATACCACCTAGGGCGTACCTCCGATTCAATGCTAACGTCTCTCTTGGATGTGCAGCAGCATCAAGGCTATCCTCCCAGTATGTGATTCTGCCAATATCTTATATCTTGAAAGTGTTGTTTACATTTAAGATCCAGCTATATACAAGTTGGTGATATCTATTCTTTGTGATGAAGTTTTGGTCCAAGAAGTACATACATTTTTTTGAATTATTACAAACATCAACAATCAGGATACACAACAAACTCCCTTACATCATTTTATGGACATCGGACTAACATTCTAGCTCAAAGACAAAGGTGTCTTTGGTGGAACCACTATGTTCACCATATGAGGTTATGGATTAAAACACATCACCGCATGCTGATTTGTGGCTTCTCAAGTTTTATTGCCATTCAATAGACACAAGCTATGTGATGAAATATAAAAACTGGTCACAAACATCTGTGACAAAAAATAAAGTAGTTTTTAGATTTAAACAAACATGTTTAGCAATTACAATGAATTTTAGCCATTACCTGCAGCAAATGTTCGACACGCATAACAATAGGGAGATATGTGTTGCATTTTTTTATTGGTTACACATTTTCAAAGAAGAATGTGCAAATTAGGCTTTATTGTATTAAAAGTTTTACTGTGTAAGACTAATGGGCATATGGAGCCGTAAATGCAATATTATCATTATTTTGCTGGTGAATTATCACATAGGAGGATAAGAGCTCACTGAGTTGTTTGCTATCATGCGCAACAAATTGAACACTTGAAGTTGTAGTATTATTTCAGAACATGAATAAGATTTTTTTTTGTTTTGTTAGGTTAAAGTGTTCTAAACGTGTTTTAAAGGCTATAAATAAAGCATAAAAGGTGACTAACTGGGTGGTGGGGTGGTAGTGGTGGAGGGTGGGACTCCAAATACAACATTTATCAGCTCTATATGTCAGCATTTTGCATTTCAATCTGCATCTGCATTCATCTCAACCAGGCCTTAAACGTTTGGGCAAATTTTATTTTAATCACTTAAGGAAAAAACAAACAAACAAACAAACAAATAAACAAACAAAAATGTTTATGTGTTTGCTTCTTGTAATGGCATATTTCAAAATGCACATTCAAGAAGCAAAGAAAAATGAACAGCAAAAATCCTCTCCTCCTTTCTTCATTTAGCCAAAATGGACAGTTGGTTAGTAAGTGCAAGAAAAAGTGAATCCTTGTTTGTCTATTTTAATCTGGCTGGAAACTGAAGGTCATTTCAGATTTATTGTTCAGAGTAATAATCACAAAAAGAAAAACACTTAAAATTGTCTGATGTTCTTTGTATTCCTTAAATTAATAAAAACCTGAAATAATGAAGACAGATAAAGAACTGCAATACTAAATCCTTAACTCCAGCTAACAGATATAAAGATTTACAGACACACATACACTTGGACACACAAACTACATACACAGAAAGACAAATAAAAAAAAATGTGAAGATGAAATAGCAAAAAACAAAAGGCCACAGATATAAAGAGAGAATGTAATACAAATACAGGTATGGGTTAGGTGTGGGTGTGTGACAGAAAGAGCACATGACATTTGCATCTCTAGCTCTCCAGCAGCTTTGGTCTTGACTGTTCCTCATCTGTATGTGCATATTGAGTAAGCCCAGGTGATGCATATGGCACAGAGGTCACACCAGAAAGGGCAAATTCTCATATAAAGCCAACACAAATGCTCACGTGCACGTGCATTCTGTCTTGTGTGGTTACCATACAAGCACATCAGAGCAAAAAGCCTGCAAAGATGCACACACACACACACACACACACACACACACACACACACACACACACACACAC